AACCATACAACTATTATAATTGCCGTCTGTACTGACTAATTTTTTGAGTGTTTAAATAAAACATTACTATTACAAGTTTTACAACTTAATTTAATAGCATCGATAGTGTAATTTTGAAGTTTTTAATTCCATGTAATGAATTCGACGGAGTGATAAAAACAAAGATTTACAATTGTATACAAAGGGTGAAAAGTACAAAGTCACGCGAGATGTGAATTGACCAGAAATCGCAAGACGAACGTAGATTACTGAAAAGAACTGGTTAGTTTTTGCCACGGGCTGTTTTTGCTGATACCTTTGTATACTTGCAAAGCGTGTCATTACTTGCGTTTTTGAAAACGGTGGTACAACATTTTCAAGCGTTCACTTGTTATTTGACATTTGATTAAGAATTCGTTCGATTGACGCGAGATCTTCGTCGCATATCACAATAGATCTAAGTTTCATCAATATTCCCGAGCTCTGGTATAGATTTACTATAGATTTAAACATAGTCCAAAACATGAATCAAACCATATACAATAATAGTTACTATCACCCAGAATACATCGCTTAAGGTATAGATAGAAATGATAACTATTTTTTTTACGACGAATGATGTTTTACAACTACGCGTTTAAACAAAAAAGGCAGAATAAACAGAATAACGTGAGTCAATTTCAAACATGTTTTGCGTAGTCACGTGTTAGGTGTGTACATGTTATCACGTGCTGTCAAGTATAGGGAAATATACAAGATAAAAAAACACATCAAGGAACGTTATAGATTTTCATTTCCCGTGACCACATTTTATGGAGGTTAAGCACTGACCACAAACAAACACACACTTATGTCACCACATGCATAGGAATGGCATATATTCACCAACATCGAGTTATTTACTGAAGCACTATTATTTTCTTTTATTAACAGAACCTTGTAAGTTTAACCTTATAGTAAAACGATGTGATGGGACATAGTGACCCATCATTAAGTCGAATCTCTTACTTTCTATTAGAGTAGTGTAAATTGAAGAATTATCACTGCATTTACTAACCCCGTTGTGTTAGGCGAGAGGTGAAGAGTTGACTTAAAGCTCGGATCTATGTAGTCTAGCGGCAAATTTCTCAAATCATTCTCGTATATTTAAAGATAAACACTGCGACGCGGTGATGAAATGCACCCCGACTAGTACCTCCCATAAACTCTACATCGTAGATCATAAAGTTCCAACACATAACATAAATGCGTCCTTTCGTTTAATACCCTGTTAGCATTATGTTCAATAGTGCACGAGTGTGTAATGATTACGGAGAACTTTCATCGTATGTTTCATATAATGAATGTCGAAGTCTATAACGAGGGAGTAAACCATGCACGCATCAAGTACTATGAGATCGCAATAAGACAGATTTGGACGTCGGCAGCCTTATTACGAAACCTCCAGTCGTTACCATGCGTGCGTGTTTGGGCGTTTAATCGACACATGAATTGCCAATACACTAAAAAAAAAAGCAGCACCACCTGGTTAATAGTACTCCGCTTTTTATGAAAATATTTGTAAAAGGTTAAATTCGGCGGTCGTTGCAACGCTCCGTGGGTTAAAAACAACTGCCCACCAGCAAGGAGTGATATTTAACGATGTGTGCTCTCCCACGAAGACCGATTAAGCGTGCATGTGGTGTTAGTGACCATTATCGTGATTTGTCGTCTCTCTGGCCACACGCCTGCAACGTACCGCTGGGAGCCCTCTATTTTTAATCTTCGACATCACGGGTCTACACGATCTTGACGTCAGAGCGCTACGTGGGCTCTACGACAATACAGTATACACTATTTTTTTGTGCTAAAATTACATTCATTTATTTTAAACAGAAAAGAAGAGCAAAAGAGCGACTGCTTTTGAAGATGCAGGGACGCAATGCAGCAGAGAAAGCCCCTGGAATTGGTAAGTTTATAAATCTATCATTGACTCGCCGAAGTAGGAGTTGGTCGTACTTTGAAGCAAAAAGATAACTGATCACGTGGTTTTATCAACACGCAAAGATGTTTAGACTGTTGGCTCGTATCTTTAGTTATTGTAAAGAAGTATCAAGCTTTCTAAACGCGATATCATAGCGTGATCCCATGGGTGGATATGACTGGAAGCACGAGCGTAGGCGCTGAATATACTAGTATGCATTTAAAGCTAGTTTGTTATCATACTAATATTTGAAAATAGCGAGTACGTACGACAAAAGCTCGAATTTCTTTCTTTGATAGCGGTAATTACCCGTATGACTCTAGTTTTTGAGCATATAGTACATTGAACTTCATTCTTGCTGCTGGGTTAAATCCACTTGTCGGACTACGCGATTGTCCAGAGAGGGCGACATAGATAAGGAAGCGAGGAAGAATACAACCATCTAAATTATTAATGGCTCGTACTATTTGCTGTGATTTGTTCTTGTAGGTGTTATGCTACCAGGCAAAGTGAGAAGGTCTCGTAAATATGAACCTCGATACGAATTTTCGGAATCTGTACCGGACCTGGAGCATAGTGATGAGTAAGTGTTGAAATATTTTCAGATACTATGCTAAAACTACACTGACCTTTGAACTATGACATGTCAACAACCTCTATGCTGAGTGTGTCTTCAGTTAGGGTTCTACGAGCATATATGACGTCATCGTGATGGAAAAAGAATAAATATATTTACAAATATTAAGTGTTGGAAACACCTCGGGAAAGAGGGGTGTTGTGGAGCGACACGTTGACACTTTCAAGTCCACCACTTTTAAGTTTTCGGTGGGGGGAATAATGGCTAGTAACACTCGCTGTGGCTTGGCTTCGCTTCATTAATGCAAAAAATCACTAGCGGCAACGCGGACGCTGATTGGTTGCTCGCGTTGTCGGTTTTTTGGCCAGTGTATACTGATAGAAAACATGCCAATTATAAAATAACTGTTTAAATCACGTGGATACTGAGTAGTAAGTTTCTGAGACTATATCGAGTGTAACGACCCACCCCTCGAATTAATCTGTAAATAGTACGAGAGGTATTTCAACTTTTCCGTAGCACAGGCAGTTTACAATTATTTAAAAATGGATACAAATAATTCTAACAGAAATTATGTGTTTTTGTTATCATATAGGCTTCTAATTGATACGAGCTCTCCAGTTAAGGAACGGATTCATGGTGGCATTGACGGTCATTCCACTAGGACGTCCATGACTAACATGCATGGGCACCGACCACGCAAAAGGAGTCAACTCGCTGACATGATTCCTATGCAGAGTCTTATCGATAAAATTATTGCCAGGCGCCAAATTACAGATAGGTATTTGGACGATCGGTATAGACGTTATAGAGGGCGTCCTTCGGAGGAAGACAAAACTCCGATGATGATCCGGTAAGCAGAGTGCTACATGCATGACTACAATACGTATCATTCAGTGATAATTTACCGATCACCTATAGCGCAGTTGTAGTTGCATTCAGCCATCGGACCTAAGTAATGTATTCATGATAGAAATATTGCCAAATTCATATTACAATGGCGGCAGTCGTCGCGCCGCGTCCTGTTCGATATGGGACTCATAGCGACGTATACAACGCGTGTAAAATACATTGTTTATTTACATGATATTCGAACACGCGCTGCGCGACGACCACTGCGCTTTAAGCTATGTTCTCGCGTTACGCTAAACATTGAGCTTTGTGTTTAATGTTGTCTGAGATTGTGATAACGAATCCAATTCTGTTCATTTTTAGGAGTTATAGGCAACCAGAACCGCCTTTTGCGATTCAAAATAACCCACGGGTAAGGTAAGTGACATTAGTTTCTGTTTTTGCCCCACAACGTCGTTTATTTTTGTTTGTTTTTTGGACGACCTAAACTTGAAGTATGGCAATATTTTTTTATCGTAATGAATATCCTCTTATTATATGAATATATGCATTTTTTCATTTCAGAAAGTTTGTTTTCATATCACCGAGGAGAGATCGTGACCGTATTATCACCGGGCCAACATCCAGCATTGTTGTCATCGAAAAACCGTCGCCTCTTCCTCTACTAGAAAGAGATGAGGATAAAATGCGGCAGCAAAAATGGAACAATCGAACCCAGGAATTGGATGTTAAAACGTGGAAACCAAACTTGGAGTATTTACATCGACATCATGTTCATCCTGCCGCCGACCGCGAAGACAGGCATGTTAGAAACTATAAACTCGAAAGACAATTAGGCATGAAAATGGAAGGGCAGGGAATGTACAGCGATTCACACTTAACGACTCAGGCCAGGGTCTTACCACCGATCCGAATACCATGCCAGCCTATCTTCGGAGACAGGAACCATGAAAAGCGAGGGGAATTGACGGAGTCTCGAAAAAGTACATGTAGCTCTGCAAGGTCGTCGAAAAGAAACATTACACTCGGGGACATTGATGTGGTGGAGAAAGAGAATGCACATCGCAATGAGCAGTCCGAGAGCAGAACTGACCAACAGATTGAATACACTAAGAGCGGAGAGACGTCGCGGGCGAACGAGGACTTGATTCTCGAAATAAAAGGTGAGGAAATCAAGAAAAACGATACAAAGGAAAAGCTTAACAGTAGTGGCGACGAGTCGAAATCAATCGAGCATCACAAAATGGAGGTACGGATCCCGATGGGTGTGCCACGCGTACCAACAAATACACCTGACCTTCCTGGTGAAGAATACGATGACGAGGAGGAGGAGGGAGACGACATCAATAGAATGGAAACAGCTAACCGACCGAAATGTGTGACAGAATCAGAAAAAGTAGACAATAATACAGAAGTTGATAACAATATCACAATTAGCGTCATAACAGTTGTCCCGTTCGACAACGCTAATGTGGTTAAAACTTCGTCAGATTCGAATAACAACTCAGATAGCAAACCAACTGTCAGTGATAGGCCACCCAACGAGTCAGAACTAGGCGTCCCCACCATAACAATGACATGTGCAACTCCCATTCCTGGTACAATTTCACGGACAAATACACCAGCTCCTCCAGTTTCACCACAACGTGACTAATACAATCAAGTTTAATAATCTGATATTACGAGTCTGGCGTGGCTAGTTGGCAAAAACGAATGCACACGCAGTAGCATTCAGCAAGGCTATAACATTCCCCAGATTTTGGTCGTGCGTCGCTTAGCAACACGACCAGACTACACGACAAACTCTTGAAGCATTCGTAGAAGAAAATCATATTGTAATATCAAACTTTTAGTGCTGCGTGTGACATATTTTATTATTACAGATAGTTTTTGTGTACCCTACATTCCCCAACATCAACTGTGCCGTGCATGTTCGGAAAATGAAAAACAAAACAATAGATGTATAAAAACAAAAATATGATTTAGACAGCATGTTTGATGCAATTATTGTGGTGGCGCTGCTGTGGTTGATATGCAAAGCTATTCATCAATTCATTGTAGGCATACCCGTATACGTGTATTTATTGTCATAGTATTGTTTTTCTTGCATTTCGTTTTGCTGTAGATATATGTTACTCAGCATCTTTTTACATGAATGAAACAATACGCATGCGCATCATGACATTAACAGCATGACGAATAAAGTTTTGAGACTTAGCGATCTGATTGGCTGGCTGAATTTTAATATAAACCTTATAACATATTCCATGGAGGTAAAAAGAGAAGGAGTCACAGCCAAAATAATCCTCCTAAACTTCTTTTGTTTTAGTCAAGTTTAATCCCATAATTCCCTTTGTCTTATCGTCCTTTCTCTTTTTACCTCCATGCATATTCCGAACTAACTTCGCTCATCTACAAGTGGCGTTATTTATTTTAGTGACATTTACCCCTATATTGTATGTGGATCACAATCCTACATCCATTGTAGGTTTTCTGGACATAAATTCTACGAATTAATTATGCCAATTATACAAGACACGACCAACGGCATGGCTAGGCGTGTCACATGGTATACAAGGTTATTCCGAAGTGTGTGTGTATGGGGGGGGGGGGGGCTTGGCTAGTATAAGTAGGACATACGAGTGTTCAGCAATATAAAAATGATTACAATTTTAATACACACCTTTTAAAAAATCTAAATTTCTTAATTTGGAGAAACACCAGGAAGATATGTTTCGAGAAGATACGAGCGTCTCTGCGTATTCCACGTGTTTGGGTTTAGGTGGGACATTCAAAACAACAATGACTTCCACAGCCAAAACACTCAATTTCTACGCATCGTTCAGAATGCCCAACCACGTGCCAATCCGAAGAGAACAAGTACGTTTCAGGCAATGTAAATTCATAAATACGAATGAAAATGTAAATTTACTTTACAATGCCGGTACACACGAGTTGATAGTCACGTGAATTAGAATAGTAACGGCCATGCGGTAAGGATGAGTACGACAGAAACGATATAATATTACTGTATAAACGTGGCGATATTTAGAAACGGATTCCTGATCCAGAGTAGCGTTAATTCACAAATCCTAATCAAGGAATATTACCAAAAAGTACACACGCAATATATATATCAGACAACGGAGGTCTAATCCACCAGCACAGATTTTAGTTTAGCCTGTAATTATTGCATGGTTTTTTCACCCCATATTTAAGTCACTATATGAACTGTTTCATATTACTATACTGTTGAGAGAGATAGTACGGTCACAGTTACGCGCACGATTGGCATATGCCAATTTACACCGGTTTCCCACCGTGACGGGTGTGGCCGAAAAACGCGATACCAAACCACATCGTTCATTGTATTTACAACTGCCCGGCTTATTGCATGTTGGCTATTTTTTTCCACTGTACCCAAATAGAAAGCTAATATTAGTTCTGCATGAATTGCTATTTACTCAAATATACTTAATAGAGTGCTACGAAATTCACAAATATAGAATCAAACGAATAGATTATATTATATCATTTTTCAAGCCAGTTTAATTGACGACAATGGTAAAACCCCATTTGATTAGTTCTTACAAGCAATGTTATTTTTTACTGGCCATTTATCGCAGTTATGTTTTGCTACACATTAAAAGCAATCAAAGACGACATTTGCTACCAGGCAAAAAAAAAAAAAAAGTGATTTACAACCACACCATAGAGGGCGCTGATATATTCTTTTTCGCACGAAACATACATGTACACAATTCATTTTATAAACCATATATATATATATATACTTTTATTATATTTGTGTGAAATAAACATTATAAATGAACAATGTGAAAGCCGTCAAAACTAACATAGTAGATACCTTGAAAGAAGTATTTTTAGCAAGCATGGTAATTAACGCGACTAATTTAGTATATTCATACAGCGAGAGATTTGGCAATAATTCAATTTCATGAAAGTGAAATTACAATTCAGTAATTATATATTACGTTGTCTTTATGTAATGCATACACAGGGGGCCAAAGTAGAGCATGATTTATTATGAACTGATACCACTATTGACATGCATTTTTTTTCAAAAGTCTCAAGGCTAAAAAGAAAAACAGAACACTTAAGAAAAATCGATTTTAAATTTCAAAGAGAGTCATACATCACAACACAAGACTCTTTTTAATATGTATGTTCAGTAAGAAAGTTTGGCTATATTAGAAATATTGTACATCCTGTTATTAGGTATAAAATGAATCCAAAATAATAAAATAAAATATATTTATCTATATTCAAGTGACTTAAACATTAAAATTTTCCCCACAAAAAAATATTGTTATTTGAATACTTGAGAGCACTAGTTATGAATACATTACACGAATGTCAGATACTTTATGTCTAAAGAACTCTCAGCCTGATATATGTTTCAGTGCTACTAAATATTATGATACCCCCCACCCCCTGACACACAAAATTAGAGAAAGTACATCTCTTAACAAATTAGTGTGGTTCAGAATACCCACTGAATGCTGGGTAATCAGCCTCTAATAATAAAATAAAGATATAAGACGAGAATGCAGTCAGAAATCCCAATCCCATAATGCACTGTAACTATAATCTAAGCGTTGGATTGTTGACACACCAACAGAGAACATAGGCTAATGATAAAAATGTGAGACAAATTAGTTTTACCCTCCTTAATTATCACCCATTGACTGGCGACAAAACATCTACAGCTTATTTTCATCAGAATAGAGAGATGACATTGTGACTGATGTAGCATGTACCACATAGCAGGTATAAAATTCAATCTATAAATCTAATTGTTTATAATTCTGCCACAACCAATCATGATATTTATTCAACATGTGGTCTTCAGGTTTTACCTAATATAAAAAACAAACAATCAGTACATTTTGCATTGCATCACAGTACGTTAGGTTCTAATTATAATGCAGGGATATGTTTATATTAGTTTTATATTTTACTGACTACTGCTATGATACAGCTTTATAGAAATGGGACGGTAAAATGGTAAGTAAACAGCCTTTATATTGCTCAAATGATCCAAGTGTTCTATAACCAATATAAATTACTTGCCTGTTTCCACTCATTGACACAAAATATTCGATAAGAATCATTCCCATATTTCCCAATCCCATATAATTCTATAGGATATTTCCAGTTTTTATGAATATATTCTTCTATAATGAACCAAAAAAAAAACAGATTGAATATGATGCAGTAATAAGTCAGTTATTATTCATGGGGGAAAAAGCACTACTTGAAATATGCAACAGGATATTTGAAATACACATGAAGATGTACTCATAAACACATCAAGGTATATTTGAAATACACATCAAGGTATATTTGTAATACACATCAAGGTATATTTGAAATACACATCAACGTGTATTTGAAATAAACATCAAGGTATATTTGAAACCCAAATCAAGGTATATTTGAAATACACATCAATGTATATTTGAAATAAACATCAAGGTATATTTGAAATACACATCAAGGTATATTCGAAATACACATCAAGGTATATTTGAAATACACATCAAAGTATATTTTAAATACACATCAAGGTATATTTGAAATAAATATCAAGGTATATTTGAAATACACATCAAAGTATATTTGAAACCCAAATCAAGGTATATTTGAAATACACATCAAAGTATATTTTAAATACACATCAAGGTGTATTTGAAATACACATCAAGGTATATTTGAAATAAACATCAAGGTATATTTGAAATACACATCAAAGTATATTTGAAATACACATCAAGGTATATTTGAAATACACATCAAGGTATATTTGAAATACACATCAAGGTATATTTGAAATACACATCAAAGTATATTTGAAATACACATCAAGGTATATTTGAAATACACATCAAGGTATATTTGAAATACACATCAAAGTATATTTGAAATACACATCAAGGTATATTTGTAATACACATCAAGGTATATTTGAAATACACATCAAACTATATATGAAACCCAAATCAAGGTATATTTGAAATACACATCAAAGTATATTTGTAATACACATCAAGGTATATTTGAAATAAACATCAAGGTATATTTGAAATATACATCAAGGTATATTTGAAATACACATCAAGGTATATTTGAAATACACATCAAAGTATATTTGAAATACACATTAAGTATATTTGAAATACACATTAAGTATATTTGAAATACACATTAAGTATATTTGAAATACACATCAAAGTATATTTGAAATACACATCAAGGTATATTTGTAATACACATCAAGGTATATTTGAAATACACATCAAACTATATATGAAACCCAAATCAAGGTATATTTGAAATACACATCAAAGTATATTTGTAATACACATCAAGGTATATTTGAAATAAACATCAAGGTATATTTGAAATATACATCAAGGTATATTTGAAATACACATCAAGGTATATTTGAAATACACATCAAGGTATATTTGAAATACACATTAAATATATTTGAAATACACATTAAGTATATTTGAAATACACATTAAGTATATTTGAAATACACATTAAATATATTTGAAATACACATTAAGTATATTTGAAATACACATTAAGGTTATTTGAAACAAATTATTCTTACCAGAAAATCTGATCAACATTTTAGCTCTTTTATCATAAAGTCCTAGAGGGTGAATCAAATTGGCTATCTCTTTCCAATCAGCGTTGATTGTTTCCACAGCTGAGGGCCATTTGGTGAAGAACTGCCATAGAATTGGAATTGCAGCTTTACCTAGGAAGAATTGGAATGAATTACTGAACTTAGGACAATCTCTCCATTCATGTCATATCCAAATTAAACCGTAAATGCTATAATAGAGTTTGGGGTTTAGGAGTATTGGTACGTACATTTTAATATAAAATACCTCTCATCACCCAAGGATATGGACCATATATTCTTTATTAGTAGCATATGCGCCGACGTAAATCACAGGTATATGTTCAAAATAAGTAATATTTTAATGATTCAATATACAATAATATGTCCATTTTGATTTTATATACACATCTAAATGAGCAAATACAATTACTCCAACTTTTAAAAAACTGAAACAAACTGGCTCGTGAATGACTGGTTCTGCAATTGAAAATTTGAAAATTGTCCCTTGTCAGTGTGCAAATTTTAGGTAATTACAACCTGACAATAATATTGCATGCCAAATTGCAAAATTATAGTGAGCATAGAGAAAGCGTCCAAAAGCCACTTGTGAAGTGAGATCTATAGATAACATGTGTATATATAGAAAAGTATGGAAGAGATATGTATACTAGTAGTAGTACCCTAAGAGTTTGAAAATGATGTACTTTTCAGTCAATTTGTTGTTTCACAAATTATGCGAAGCGAAAAAGCTCATTCATGATAAAACATATTCAGGATGTTGTTCAATGATCAGGCAATTGTTCTCTGCCATTTTCATCAGCGGCAACACACGAATCATTCGTAGTGCCGTCTTGAATTTCACTCAACTTGCATGTGAACTTATAACTTCCGCAGTTCATGCTCGCTGACTCTCTATGAATATGTCAGTTCTATTTTAAGTACCAGTAAATCACTAAACTACTCAGCTGCGCTCACTTACTAGGCATTGCCTGCTACATATTACATATTTAATTATTTCACATATACATCCCATGGTGCATTTCTCTTTTTGTGTGCACAGTAACCAATTATGGAAAACAGTGAATGATGACATCACTTATACTGAAACACAAGGAATGATGACATCATTTATACTGAAACACAAAGAATGATGTATCACTTATATTGAAAACAAAAAATGATGACATCACTTACACTGAAATACAAAGAATGATGATATCACTTATACTGAAACACAAGGAATGATGACATCAGTTGTACCGAAACACAAAGAATGATGTATCACTTATATTGAAACATACGAAATGATGACATCACTTACACTGAAATACAAAGAATGATGACATCACTTATACTGAAACACAAGGAATGATGATATCACTTATACTGAAACACAAAGAATGATGACATCCCTTACACTGAAACACAAGAACTGATGATGTCACTTTCACTGAAACAAAACACTGACCTATAATACCTTACCAGTAGTCCGATTGAGGAATATTGTTGCAACCAGCAATTTCCATGGATCATGAAATAAACTTTCTTGCACTAAATTATAAGGAGACTTTGGAGGAATCCATTTTGTTTTTTTCTTGAGAGAAGGCAACAGGTCCTTCCCTTCAAAATAAGGACTGGAAACGATCTTTCTCCTCCTTGTTACTAGGCAACTGGAATGACCTGAATGTAAACAAGGTTAGAAGAGATGGCCAATTATAAATATTTAAATTTACAAAATTTGAATGTCAAAATATGACCAGTACTTTGGTGTAACACATTTCACTGTTATTAAATTCTACCGTATAACTTATTTGTTGGATGCGAAAATTGGAAACATGCTTTGATCAATATATTTCGTAAATGGAAACAATTATCTTTTTAACATGTGACAAAAGTTGAATTTCGTGTTCAAAAAAAAAAAGGGTTATAAATGTGCAATAATGTCAGATTATGACATCATCATTTCAGATAACACAGAAACTCAGCTGTATAAAAATTACCATACTTGTGAACAAATTTATAAGACCAGATTAAAAAAACAAACTATTTTCAATCAATATCAGTAAACATTTGTTAACACAACATTCCTTTCACGTGCTTTACATGGGTTTCTATGGCAAAGGTAATTTCAAAATATCTAGAAATATGTTTGGTGACACCGTTGGAGCAAAAAAAAAAATGCCATTTATTTTTTAGCAAGATATTTTTTCTATTTAATATACTCAATGAGAACAAAGCACAGCATGGTATCATGTTAGATGCAGAAGGGTGTGATACTGTAGTGCTGAAATAAGATTTGTTTTGACTGGATTTTAAGTTCACCAAATTGGCACTACAGTTCGAGACAAGCTTTTACACAAGCACATATGCTTCTAATACAGCAAATGTAGCATGATTTATTTTTTTGTAAAAAATGTTCAAATATAGTCTATTATTACCATCTCACACATCCCTAAAACATTATCATTGCACACATTTCAACAGTTTAAATGTTAAAGATTCTAACATAGCTTATACCGATAGGTTTGTTTCCAAATTCAAAAATTGTTACCAACATATTTTAGTTAATCACTTTAGCCTTTCAAACCAATTCATACGTATAATCCAGAAAATGTTGTAAATTCCATATTTTGTATTCCCGCTGGGGTAAAATATTGAAATAAGGGCACATAAAAATGAAAGTAATGAGTATAGCAGCTTTATTTCAAATAAGGAAGCAGTTTTATCATGGTGCAAGACCAAACTGGATATGGTGGAACAGCCACAAAAACATGTTCAAGACAGTGGAAGATACCAATTACTCTTAAAACTGTCAACAGTGACACTACCCCAGATATTTTTTTTAAATTTTAATATTAAAATTTGCCATTCTAGGTATTCACTATATGCAGCAAACCACCAACGCCTTGATATGATAGTGAACTATGTAATTAAGTTGAGATATGATTGATTATTAAAAAGTGCTAGAATTATAATATTTTGTCAATCAACCTCAGATTTTGTGTTTAGGAGAATTTGCATGCAAAATTTAAACTAGCCAATGAACAATCAATATACTTATGACACCGTGTAGGGTCATATTTGCATGACTTTCATTGGATAATGAGATATTACTAGCACTGTACCTAGGCATATAGTGAGGTAAGGCCGCATAGATGTCTAAGACATCCAATAGTGTGTGATGTTTGCTTAATCTTAATAGATAATGGATATTACGAGCACCGTAACTCGTCATGTAGTGAAGAAATGTCAATAGACATCTATGACATCCCATACTACACGAGGTTTTCTTGAATCTGAATATTAATGGGTTAAGCCAGTAGAATGCATTAGATTCTATGCACAAATTTGTCAATGCAAGACGCATGCTTTGGACAATTTTTCCTGTAAATGAATTTTTCTTTTCTAATTTTATGAACCAGACAATGTCTACACATTATAATTAAAGAGGCAATTTGAATAACTATGAATATATGGGTAAATCAAGTGCCAATTAGTGTTCTTATTCATATGAATGTCATCATTACCATGACAATGTTTATATTTTACAATAAATCATTTTATCAAGTTGCAATAAAGAATTATTTGCAAACCTTTTCCAAAATGCTCAGTTCTCTACACTGCCTCTTTAACCCTACGATGGCCATAATTTTTGCCGCCAAAATTTTGATGAAACATTTTGTACACTTATAGGCATTTTCTTCTATTTTTTGGGTTCATTTGAACTAAATGCACATAATTTATTATCAGTTACAGATTTTGATTAAAATTTATGAAAAAATACAGAAATAATTATGAAGGTTTATTTTGCGAAAGGTAACAAAAAAGTTGACTTTATACGTGCAAAGAGGTGAATTACTATAGCAACAAGGGATCAAATAACACTTCCTGCATGGATGAATTCAGACAACAGGATTTTCCAAGAATACAATAACATATTTATTGCAGATACAATTAACAAGTGCAGTAAAGCAAGTAAACATAATTAACAAACTTGTAACATGTACCGGTATACACCACAAAAAGAACAATTGTATAGCAATTGCTCGATGTGGGAATCGAGTTTGAGGTGAAGAGTGCCCTCCAGTGTCAACACTGACTACTGTTTTCATTTTTTTTTATATTTAGATACCCATAACATTTCAAGGCAGTGATATCTTCGGCACATTCCATTTTGAAAAAATGGTAACTGCAAAGATTATAAAATCCCTATACTATCGATCTTTCACAAAATAATATAACTTCACATCAATATGACATGTTGATCATTCTTGTGAAATCTTGCTTCTTTATGTGACTAATAAAAAAACTTCTGGCTTGGGCAAAGTTAATAAGTAATAAAAAAATCTATAGAAATCCTTTTTAAAAACAAAATATAAATACATTTTCAAAATCCATTAAAGCCTTCTGTGCTTTTCTTCTTTTTTTTTAGAGCATAATGTCATCTACAGAGATGTTTGTAAAAACATGCACTAAAGTATATTTATAAATACCACAGAGCTATATTTGAAATACACACTGTGGTATATTCAAAATACACACCATAATATATTTTTCTTCATTCAAAAAATGAGCTCCCCCCCCTCCCACAACAATGAAAACAAATTAACAAACAATTTGAGCAAAATATGAAAAATGTATATGGACATAAAATTCTGAACTGATTTTGAGGGCAATAATATTATGTGCGTGTAGGATGTATTAATTGAAAATTTTTTCTAATTTATCAAGTCTTAACATTTTATTTTGAATGTCTTCACAAGATAAGGTACATGCACATAATATACAATGGACATTCGCGTAAACAAACCAGAGTACTGGGAGACAAGACTACCATAGATATTTTTGAAAATACAGGTCAGCAAATCAACTCAATTATAATTTAATCAGACACGTCTTTAATACAAGCAACCAGATTTACATAAGTTGTTTCAATTTTCATAACCATTACTTACAAAATGTCATAATTTTGAAATCAATACCAAGCTACTTACAAAATTGTGCCTGATTGGCTACCAAACCCCAACATTCAGACCAATCAGAGAGCAGCTTCTTTGTTGTTTTTTCGATGCATCAAATTCTGCCTTATATATATGTATAAACTCAACTGCGAATTTGCGAAATTCAAAAAAATGTTTTCTCATGAAATTATAACGGTTTACTATATCAAAGGATGGTGGTGGCACTGCGTTGTCTTTGAAAATAAAAGTGTAAAATACACTGCTTGTTTACACAGAATTTGAATATACGATGCACAACTAACACCATTCTTCAACAATCTGAGTGCGAAAATAGTTTCGTACAGTAAATATAAGCTCAGTAATAGACGTGCGTACAATTAGTGTTTCATGATTGTCACTTACAAAATGCAATAAAAAGTGATAATAAATATCAATAAAATCAACCATAGATTATTGTGATAAAATATAATTATGGAATACTTAGATAGAAAAAAAGTATATGATCATAAAGGTGAAATAAAAGTTACGACGAATAAATATTAAAATTAGTTGCAAACAAAAAAGTGCACCCATCTGTTACAAAGGTTAACATGTTAAATATTATAGACGAATTTATAATTAATATTAATTAAAAGTATGATGCATAATATTCATACAGTTTTCAATAATCACATCAATGTGACTATGCCAACAGAAAGGAGGAAGGTTGCAGGTATTTTTAAGACGAAAATGTTTTTTTTTTGTTTGTTTTTTTGAAAAATAGTAAATATTTCTTTTTCTAATATTTATGTAGATTTCAACAGCAGTAAATCCTAACTAAATTAAGTATGGTATTCCTCTGTCAAAAAATATTTGTGATCTAAAAAAAAAAGAAAAAAAAAAAAGAACCCACACTGGAATTCCATGAACTTTAGAAGTACTTTATAGAAAATTTGTAAATAAAAGTAAATAGTACATAATGTATTTACCACACATGTCTATTATTACAAGATAAAAGACAACACACGCCCTACAGCAATCTGACACAGAGGCCATCATACCATCATACACCCTGTTGTTTAAAGCGGGAGGGTCATCACCTGCGCACGCCCGGGAATTGAGTCCCAAGCGACGATAACACACGTTAAGAACACAAAGGCTCATGGGTGGACGCTCGTTTGTAAACAATGACACGCTATGGCCATCTGACACATGCGCAAGTGAGCTCAGCAAAAACTTTAAAAGCAATGCATCATGTTGCCATAGCAACTAGCCTACATGCATATACTAATTAGCATGCTTGTTCACACAAAATCAAAATTGTAAATCAGCAGATGACAACCCATGCATGGCACAGTCCCAGTTAGTTATCAAATTTAAGATATATAGTTTTGTTTATAGTAATATAGCTGGAATATAACCATGTCAGGAATATGATTTTTTAATATTAAAATGATTGACATTTGTATCTGATTGTCAAACATGTACTTGTCCATATTGAGAGATATTGCTCTGGAACAGCATTCAAAATCAGCCATTTTGAATACATGTGTATATATATATAACATGATGTATAACGAATATATAAAATTTGAATATAATCAGTCAAAGCATTTAAGAGATATGGCTCTCGAAGCCCAATCATTAAAACAAAATGGCCACCAGTCAGCTATTTTGAATCCAATCTGAAAGATAAAATGACGTGCATCAGGAACCTGTAATGTCTAATGTATGTTATAGGTTTGAACAAAATCCATCCATAAATGCAAGAAATGCTTGATATTTGAGGATTTTTTTAGCACAAAAATAGCCACCATTTGGCCACTTTGAAAAGGATCGTCAAACCAATATATTCGTACATCTATGACATGATGTATAATGAATATTAAAAATTTGAACATAATCAGTCAAAACAAGTCAGAGATATGGGTCTGGAAACCCATTCATTAAAACAAAATGGCCACCAGACAGCCATTTTGAATCTGATCTGAAAAATAAATGATGTGCATCAGAGCCCTGTAATGTCTAATATATGTACCAAATCAAAATCCATCTGTAAACAGCTGAAAAATGCTTGATTTTGATGATTTTTAGCACAAAAATGGCCGCCATTCGGCCATCTTGAATCAGATCGTGAAACAAATTGACGTGCACATGTAAAATATCATGTATGATGTATGTGTGAAGTTTGATTGTGATTGGTCCAGGCATTTCTAAGATACAGGTCCGAACGCACGCACAGACGCACGTACACACACGCACGCACAGACACACGGAGGTCAAAACATAAGTCCCAGTTTTCGGACTGCGTCCGAACGGGGACTAAAAATTAAAACAACAAGAAACATTTTCTGTCAGCGTCAAACATATGCCTCCCCCATTATCCCCTGAACGGCAACGAATAATAGAACTAAAATATTCAATTCATATTTTATGTATAAAGTCTGCCCTCTGTACTTTATTTACAATTTACAAAATTTAAACAATGCATATTCAAATGAAAATGAATGCTATTTAATAATATGCGATACTGGCCTAATAAATGTAATCTCATACATTAGCCCAATATCAGTAGAAGAATCAACTTGCATCGTAAATGGCATGCCTCCCCAATGATCATACAAACCATTTTTGAAATCATGCGCTATAACCTCATCAAGATGAATGAATGGTTTCACACAATAACATTGGTTGGGGATATAATATAAAAAATAAAACAGGAAATACAAAATAGTGAGCTCCTGTAATCCAAATGTAAGTATGTTCTCTGTTTGGATAAAGCTGGCCCAGTCAACACAGAGAACAGTTGTGGCTGAGATGAGTGAAACCGTCTTGTACTAATTGGAGTCTAGTGAAATCTTGATTACATCCCGTACTGCCCAAGTGCATACTATATTCCAGCGATAACATTATTATCTCTTTCTGCTTGTAGTCATCTTGAAAATAAATGTTATGTACCTTATGCCACAAAGATTCTATGGAAGCACTAGCATTCAATGATGTGTTTCTACTTTCTCCACAAGTATTGTATTTGTACCAATTTAGAAAAAAAATATGACGGGGAATTGGTTTGAAACGCACACACCACACACAGACAGACAGACAGACAGACAGACAGACCAAACGCAGAGGGCCTGACAATATATACATGTGCTTTGTTGCTGAAGTCAATGCATGCTTGTTTATGGATCGCGATATAGAGCTCAAAATAAAGGAAGGTTTAAAACTGAAATTGTTTAGTAATGTAATGCAAGCATATATTACTAAATTTAATCATCCAAATTTTCAAAACCCTCAAAATCATGCATACTTTTTTATCTAACGAGCCTGCACTATACTATACTACATATTCATTACACACTATAAACGTCCATTTATTGACTTCAGCAACCGACCACATGGAATCGTCAGGTCCCTGGGGGACAGATGGCTGTCTACAACCCAAATCACATACGATTGCATTGCATCTAGCAAAGAGTGGGAGCTAAGGGTGAAGATTCATACATTTTTCAACTCTTCCGACGACATTGTCAACTTTTGCCCACAAACTTTACAAAACAAATCGTTACAGTATTTTGTCTGCTCATTTCAAACAAATATGTTTTCCCAAATTGTCATAAATTTAGGGTAAAGATCTGTTTGCTCAATAAATTAAAACCTGTAGAAATTAATTTAGACAGAAAGCGAATGATTTAGACTTTATATTCAGTCAATCCAAAATATAGAATTCACTGCATTTCAAGCCCAGTCATGGCAATTTTATTCTTTCATATAATTCCTTGAAGAACAAGTTTGTAGAATCTCTCGCATTGACGCGAAATTTTCACGACTGGTTCTGTCGCGCCCTCTATAGTTGACACCGCATTTTTGAGGTGATAAATATGCTAATGAGTAGCATGAATTGTAAGTGCCAACCAATCAGAAAAGCAGCTTCTGGTTTGATCTATTCTTCACACACGTGGCCTGACACATTGCGACTTTCTTCATTTGGAAGTGTTCTACTCCCGGGTTCCATAACATCACTGCATATCATTAATAATTCAAAGCAATGAATACGCCTCAGAATAGACCAGTCGTGGTAATTTTGCATCGGACCAAGAGTTAAGAAAGAATTAAAAAATTTCCACGACTGGTCTGTTTCTATCATTGATTATAAATAATATTTAGAATTTTAAATTAAATACACCTTCTGAGATTCTTTTCCTCCTTCCAGCATCTTTCATCTCATCATTACTATCTGGCGTTCTCTGTCTGTTCTGCGGACTTTTCTCATCTACTGTTCCACTGCCACTCCAGAGAATATCTTGTGATCGCCGTCTACTCTCAGTCTGTTCTTTCAGGCTAGGTGACCGTGCTTCGCCATCGCTAGAATGTCTAACTGGAGACATTTTATTACAAGGAGATTTTGACTCTGAGGTTCTCCAAGGTGGAACTCCTTTGATCGGAGACTTTAAATCAATATCAAAAAAACTTTTTCTTGGAGAACTAATTCTCCTTGATTCAGGTTCATTAGAATTCCTGCACGGAGAAACAGGTGATACTGAACCATCATCATGGGAGTGTTTCCTAGGAGACCTTGGCTCACTGTCATTCAAGGCTTTCTTTGGCACATCCTTTTTTTCTTTCCCTTTCCAATCCTTCCTCCATGCGAAATCCTTATTTTTTACAGGTCTAGTGTCTTTTAAACTCTTTTTGGGGGATGCATTCTGAGATGAAGATAATTCATCTTTATCTTCCCTACTCAGAGAACTGAGATGAGGGAAAATCAATTGTTTCTTTGTAACCACAATTGTTTGTTTGTTTTGTTGATTGCCCTTTCCTTCAATTTGACTATCTACAGTAGTCTGTTTTATCATTTTTTTATTTTTCATCGTTGGCATAGCTTCTTTGCTTTCACTCATTTCCATCGCCCTTTTTCTTCGCTCTTTTGGAGTTATAAAGTTAATTTTCACAAACAGTTTTTGAGCTGGTTTCAAACTAGCCTTCTTTTGTTTCTCTTCTTTTTGTTTTGAAAGTTTTGTTATCTCTTTTAATTTTTTTGGTGATGGCTGGGTGGACCTAACCGGTGTGTTCTTAATACCTCTAATGGTGAAGTCAAACTGACTACATTTTAGGTCAGAGTTTGTCTTCATAAACAGAGCAGCCAGTTCAATTCTTGATCGATATTTTTTACCTTCAGGACTGAAAAACAAAATAAAAAATATTTTGAGCAGTAATCCTAGATTTTACATAGCACAGCTAACCTCAGCTCAGAGAACCCAGTCACGCTACACACTAGACGAACTCAACCATGTCAGGATAAGTTCACCCTGAAAACTATGCTTTCTAGTCAAGCTAACCTCAGTCCGAAAAACCCAGTCATGCTACACACCAGAATAACTTACCCAAGCCAAGATAAGTTCAACCTACCACTATGCTTTCTAGTCAAGCTAACTCAGCCCAGAGAACCCAGTCATGCTACACACTAGATGAACTAACCATGCCAAGATGAGCGCAACCTGACACTATGCTTTCTAGTCAAGCTAACCTCAGCCCAAAGAACCCAGTCATGCTACACACTAGATGAACTAACCATGCCAAGATAAGATAAGCGCAACCTACCACCATGCTTTCTAGTCAAGCTAACCTCAGCCCAGAGAAACCCAGACATGCTACACACCAGATGAACTCAACCATGCCAAGATAAGCGCAACCTACCACCATGCTTTCTAGTCAAGCTAACCTTAGCCCAGAGAACCCAGTCATGCTACACACCAGACGACCTCAACCATACCAAGATATGCTCAACCTACGACTATCCATTCTAGTCATGCTATAACCGCAAACAAGGGAACCTATTCAAGAGGAACACAAGCCAAAATAAGCTTAATCTCCAATGATTACATCTAACGAAAAGAACACGCACAATAATACAGAACTTCTGTCATTGTAATTATAACATTGATATTTTACTTTGAAACAGAAACATGTTCTCATTCCAGTGACCAGGTTTACTCTATTCACCTATATGTGTAGAAATTGAAGTCAACATTGACACAAATTCTGCATTATACAATGAATAAATAAAATCTGAGTGCATAACTGAATAGCAATATGAGTGAAGTGAAGGAATGATGTGAGTTCCTGAATATCTTTCTCATCTACTAGATTATTGTTATCACTTACCTGAGTATATATACATCATACTTGCCCGCTGATTTACCAGACTTGCGCTGCACTACTTTTCTTGTCCATCCCTCTGGTAGAGTGGTATCTTCCAACAATGGAGAATCGTTTATATTTGAGATATCGCTCTTAGTCGGTGATGATTCTGTTGACGCATCAGAGATCTCTTGACTTTGCCGCGTAGCTTGACTTTCATTTTGTTTGGCTTTATCTTCCACTGATTTAGCCTTTTTTCTCTTCTTCTTTATTTCTTTTTGTTCATCGGTAAGTTCCTTTTTCTTTTTCTTCACCTTAGGAACATCTTCATTCTCATCTCCACAATCAATTTTCTTCCTCTTACGGGGTTTCTTTTCCTTGTTGCTTTCACCAGCCTCCTTATGTTTCTTTTCTTTGCCCTCTTCACCTGACTCCTTAGGCTTCTGTTTTTTCTTTTCTTTACCAGCACTGGCATCATCACTTGATGTTTCAGGTTTTTCCCTTTTCATCTTTTTTCTTTTATTTCCTTTTGTCTTGTTTTGTTCCCCATCTTCCGTGATCAGATCATTCTGTTCATCCTGCTTTATTTTTTTCTTCTTCTTTTGTTTCTCTATTACTTCTTTGGTACAGGCAATTGCTTCTTCAAAACTCATTTTTTTTTCCTGCTTCTGTCGTTGAACTTCAAGAAAATTCACACTTTTCGCATATGCATGATCTCCAAGACAAATCCGAGCTCTTTCCTCACTAGTCTGTCTTTCCAAATTAGCTTTATCAGGACTGTTTTTTCGCTCCCCTTCTTTCTTATCACCACAATTGTGTTTCTTAAACTTCAAAGACGTGGGTAACACAAATGACTTTGCTGTCGTACATTTTAGAAGCCCCATCATAATTTTAGGCGATTGTGGCGAGGAATGTGAAGGAGAAATCATTTTGGGACTCTTTGGTGATGTCGGAGAGCACAACATCGGACATCTTTCTTCTATTGATGTAAGCGAATTGGAAGGCATTGTAAAAGGTGCTATCTTACAGAACAGAGGAACTCTCTCGGCAGCACTGCTCCTGAAAAAGAGGGAAAAAACAAATATAGATGGAGATGACAATCAGTTGAGACTAAATAAAAAAAAATTATATTATTTATTTTCGAAAATAATAATAAACAAATTAGCTACTTAATACGCATGAACACGGCACTTACACATTGTATACCAAATTTGGTCAAAATTAAGATTTTGCTCAAACGAACAGACAACAGGTGTTTTGCACACACAGGATGTATGGTTGTGTTCATGTGTCTGGGTGTACATTTGATTGTAATTTTAAACAGAGAACAATTGTGCATAAATAAATATATCATTTCATAAAGACAAAATGGCTGACAATTTAGCAATGATGTTGTGACATTATAGCCAGCATACTGTATAATTAATATTAATGAGTTCCATATCATCCAGTCAGCAAGTACTTTACTTTGAATAAGTGGGTAGTATAATCAACTGTTTTCATTTCCACACCCGACCTCAACACTATTTGATATACACTCGATATCATACAAATTCTCGCACTTGATTATAAAAACATGTATTTTTTTAGTTCAAGATGTTCAGAAAAAATGTAATTTACGCTTTCATTTTTTTAGTCAAAACAGAACACAGATGTTAAGATTTAAAAAAAATTTAATTTAAAGAAAACAAGTTGTTGTAATCTCAAATGGAGAACGCAACACATCACACCAGCAATGATTTCAACAAAACCTGAACATCAATCTTTTTTTTACTCACATTATAAACATAACTAAGGCATGCGGCAAAAAAAAATAATACTCTAAGGTTAAATGATTTCTACACCATGTTTTTGAAAGTTCATTGCTACCATAAATGGATGACATGAGTAACCAAATGTATCTTGATTTGAATTGCTAGCACACAATTGTCTGTGAACTAAGTTTGGACCTAATTGGACTGTGTGAATTTGAGATTCTTCAAACAAAATGGCTGCTGGTCAAAAGTACAGGTGTTAACCACATTCTAAGTTTGAACAGAATCAGCCAGCAAAACTAGGAAAATTTACAGAATAATTCTCAACGAAATATAAAAACATCACATAGAAATATTCAGGTTTTAAAATTATGTCTACTGCAAAACAATTCAATCAACAACCAATTTGATGCCGCTAGTTTCTTATTGGAGTGAGTTCTACAAGCAAGTTTATTGCATTAAAAGTTGTTCTATTTCAAATTGTGCACACATACACACACACACACACACAGTGATTTCTCAAAATGCATACTAATTAAGTAACTTGTCACTGGTAAAAGTTATTGAAAACATTTTGAGCAATTGTACTAGAGTGAAATATCAATGTGCTTCTGCATTCTCCATGAATTTCGTAAATTGTTATGATCAATTAAAGAAAAAAACTGTGGTTACTTTCAGGTGTCTCTAAAACAACTTTTACATCAGTTTTTCGATTATTTTTTTCAGCTCATAATAATAGAATCAGTTAATTTATAACTACCATGTTGGCTATAGGAAAGCATTTTGGCATTTTAACTGAAAAGACGAGTTGTTTTATTGCTCATGAATATATGCAAATGAGACATTTTTTTAGCCAGTCATGTCATGCAACACCCTTTGGTCTTCTAATCATTAATACAGGTGGTGTCATTTTGATTGTTCAGGTCATTCATGAAAAACATGTAAATTAGAAATCATGTACTTAGCTAACAAATCCACTTTTTTCTGTTAAGCAGCGACAATTAAGTAGTGAACGCGAAACATACTGACAATTCATGTCTGACTGTTTGAATCCCTATGTCTGTAACACTCCATGTGCTGTAAACATTCTACTTTATGTCATTTTCAGTTACTGTGAACGGATAAATATTCACAGAGTTTAATTTTAGCAGCTTTTACAGCAGGGATATTCACTATGTTTTAAATTAACTGGTTTGCAAAAGACTAATATATTTTATGGTCAACTTTAATTATTCACTGGGTTATAATTTATTTCTTTATTTAGCACATGTAGCTTTCAGCTAAAAAAGTTAAAATAAAACCCAGCAAACAATATTGTATTGTTAGTAATGAACTACAAGAAAATAAATTGGGTATTACCAGTTGCCTATTATTTCTTACCTAAAACATATTATTTAAAATTGAATCCATTTTATTTTAAAGATTTTAATGATGACCAATGAATCATAAGGTATGTCCTCAGTTAACCCATCAATCAAACAAAAAACGGGTTTGGGAAGAAGGGGACATGTATCTCTTATTACATATTATATATTATTATAATCATTTGTAGCAATTATGGTGATAAATTTTGGTTTATAAAACACCACAGTTAACTGAACTAAACAAACATATTTTTATGTGCTATGTGACTTTATTAATGGTGTCGAGTGGACCTCACGATTTGATATGGACAGTCGATCCCTCAACCAATGAGTCACTGTGCACCACGTTACCACGATGGTCAAAATTCTGACTTTGTGAACTTAAATAGACCGCACACTTTGAATTCGCAACTCTGAAACACGATACAATACATCGCATACTGGTTTGTGACCGTGTGCATCGCGCGACCACGACTCGCACGTTCCATCAGTGACTGAGGTAAACAACCATGGTTTGCCTGACCTTTTTAAGAGTTGTTTTAGGCACCTTTTTAGCAACACACATACACGGCTTACTCTGTGTGAATACTGTTACTTAGTACGAGTTGGAGTACAGTCTTTCAAACAATGTAAAAGTCACTCTACTCGACGATCACATTTTCCCAGGAAACAACATACCTCTCAGCCTTCTTCTCCATGTTTTCCGCCATTTTTAAAATAAGGCATCATGGGAAATGACGCCCTCAGACATCTTTTGAGTAAACCAACTTTGTTTTCAAGGCTAACGGACTGTTGAATTACTACTATTTCAATTCAATGGCAAAGTCGCGACTTCTTTTTTGTTTCACGCTAGTTTTCGCGATCACGCTAAAAAGGCCAAATTGACAATTAATTATATTTTTTTTTGTAAAAACAAAAAGAAGTCCTGACTTTGCCAGTGTATTATTTCAAAACAAAACGTTTTAACACAAACCCAAAGACGGACTACTCAGACAATATACTACATGTACTATATTAATTTGCCAGGGTCTGATTCAACAAAATGGAGGGTAAAAAACACAGATTAAAATAGACATACACCATTGTCAACAATGATTAAATATGTTTTGATGTATAAGATACATTGAATAACTTGCAAAAATATTATAAAAAATTCTGCATCTATAAACAGAGTGAATAATTCACTCAAGTTCAACAAGTTCTCAACAATCTGCACTGCTTGTTAAAATCAACCAGAAAGACAATACTACAGTTACACAACCATATCATTCAAGACTGTTGAGACTCCGCTTCAATACAAATACTGACAAAATCCTGGCTTTAGTTGGTTCCAGAAATTTATTATATTAATCCACCAGAGCCTAAACAGTTTATGAACAGTACAAATAGTTACCCATGTAATAACTGCACAGCATTATTATGAAAAGTACGATAATCAACACAATATATATATAATATAGGGAAAAAAGTATATTCGCTAGATTTTATTTTCACTGAATCATTTCTTCAGCGAAAATAGCAAAAATCAATTCCAAGCGAAAATTAAGTATTCTATAGTATATTGTATACTGGATCATTATAACATTATGACTTATTTTGATTATAGACATTCCTCAAGTATTTACAGAAGTGTATACATTACTATGTGTAATAGAGCAAATACAGTATTTTATACAGAATCATTAAAGTATGACTTGTTTTGAACATAACCACATACATGTCATGTCATGTCACATGTCATACATGGCGCATACACTATTATATAAATAGTGTGTTTCTAGTAACACTGACACAACATGGAGTAGGTAGGTATTACTTATATATTTTTTATTTCAAATAATGGATTGACCATTAGAAAGTCAAAGGAAGATGACGAAATGTAGAAAAAAATCTACAGGTTAAAAGTTACAGAATCAAAGAAAGTCTAAAACGAACTCTGTTATATTAAGAGTATTTAAGGTAAATAAAATAAGGTACATTTAAATTCACTTTAAAATTAGACCAATAAACACTCACATACACATTAATTGTAAAGAAGTCTAACAAGAACTCTGTTGTATTGAGAGTATTTAAGGTAAATAAAATAGGGTATGTGTAAATTCACTTTAAAATTAGACCCATAAACACTCACATACACATTAATTGTAAAGATTCTCATTATTTGCTCCGCACACAGGAGGCAAATAAATATTTAAAAAAAAATTCTACTCACACTTGAAAGAAAAAAAGCAAATTTGAGTAACACTGAAATAGTCAAACAAATATCAAAATGAGAAACTGTGAGTTCATATTCTTGAGCACGCTTACCCCATTTTCCTATTAATAATGCATAATATACCATAAAAACTATGAGTATGTCTGCAACTAAAGCACTAAATTATAAAAAGTGTGTCATAGTCCATTTCAAATTAGTAATAGAGATTCCCTGGTTCCTGGTGTCCCCTGTGAATGGCAGTAGAATGCAGGTCGTTGAGTCTTCATATGATGCGCTCTTTCAGCATTGGTGGAGAAAGGACACCGATCTTCATCATCAACATTGTGTACAATATAAGCTTGCCCGATCAACGTCTATAGCTCTCAGTTACATCATTTTGATGCATTTAAAGTAAACAATGAACTTATATTATTGTATAGAAAACAAGAGTACCTAGTATTTTTAATGTCCATCTTTGGTGTCAGAATGTTATTTTTTGGCAGACTTGAACACTGTCTACAAAGTTCCATCTTTAAAATTATTATTTTGTGTTCAATAATTATTTTTTACTTTACCACCACAAAACTGAAAACAAGAAAACAATCTTTTTTAAAAATTTAATTGATAAAAAATTACAAATTTAAAAAAAAACAATTCCCCTGAGTAATAAACTGTGCCTTATGAAGTACTACTAGCAGAGTAAATGGCGTCTTTTATCACAATGGTTAGACAGTTTTACTGGTAGTGTGATAGGTATTTTTGATGGTTAAAAACCTTTCACTTAGGTAACCGGGATTCGGTCGTTTCCACGCTAGGCTGACAAAAGACACACACAAGCTTCATTCATGTTCCAAACGATTCTCTGCCAAGTCCCTGGTTTTCACCCGAGACAGCATTAAATCACTCTTTATTTCTTGTCACTCCTTAACCAATTACAATCAGTATAAGGGACTCCAAGGCCTTGCCTTCAAACAAACAACCAATCACATGAAAGTTTTTCACATCATAATCAATTAATTACTCGTCAAGCTATCTAGAAAAACACTACTATATATTGTCAACACTAACTAATATTTATGGGGTAATAGTCTTGCACTAACATTCCACAAAGATACCACCTTAGTTAGAATCGCAAACAAAATTGGTTTAGGATTACAGCTACTGTATTGTATCTTAAAAACTGCAGGCTCATAAGATGTTTTTGGTTGATTTCGACTAGCTCGCCATCTGGCCTTGTCATTAACCTTTATCAGTATATGTCATGGCAACCACTGTCAAACTGACTGAAATATAAATCATGACAGTAGTATGAATGTTACCGGGTATGCTCATTTTTATTCACTTTGCCGTAGAGTCAAAATCTCTCCAATCCAAGTCAGTGCAACCAGTCTTTATAAAGTTTGCCACTACATCACTTCGGGAACGGAATCTCTTGTTCTGAGGACTGAAATAATAAGGTTGTTATAAATAATTGTTTCAGATATACTAATAATGTTCCATGAACAAAGAAAGCTGTCACTCAAACAGAACATCCTACTGCGTGTGATAAGATTAAATCATTATTACTATATCAAAAGGAAACCGACGGAGATGGGTGATGGTAATAAGAAGGATGACCCTCAGATATGTAAATTAGTGGTCACAAAACTGCAGTAAAATATTGTCTATATCATTACATAGCTTGGAGAATAATGGCATGCACACAAATAGAGCAAAGTGGTACAACGTCAGATGATTTCATGCTTCAAAAACAAAGATGAGCAGTGGGTCTTCAATAAAAATAATATATCCACATAGAGAAAATACTTTCAAATATCACCAGCTCCAAGCATGATCATGTATGATTTAATTTAAACCCACAAATTTAGTAAAATCTCTATGAAATCTCAAATTTGCATAAGTATGAATTTGACCTTCACGTTCCAGCTCTTCATTCTGCCTATCAAAAGACTCTTTGGAAATGGTCAACCAGCAATGTCTGGTGACAACTAGCCCAAACATTTGTGGAGCATCTTTTGATTGGTTGTTTTAATCTGATGAAGTGACATGTAACATGATTTCCCAGGAAATTTAAATTTGATTTAAAGTGAACTTGATTTTGAGAACACTACAGGCTGAATGAAAATATAATAGCATTATTTCTATTACTCTTACATGTACATGACTATACAACTTTGGCTAAAACTTGGGTACTCAACCTTCAAAATGGAGCCTAAATTTTACCCATGAGCACATTTTGTAAGTACTTGTAATATCAAGAAATTATACCCTAAACAATGGTCATGTGATGTATATGAATCAATTGATTTATTGGATGCGATGAATGACAAAATTGAGAAAAAATTTGAGGTATTTTGTATAATTTTTTTTTATCTTTCTTTGGAAGTATGCAAGATATTCAAACAACTTATACCCTTAAATGCAAAACATGCCCGGCTAAAGGCTTTCAAGGTTGCGTACCCGACTTTGAGTAAAGTGCAGAAAGTACCAGGATGTGTAACCTACGAGTTATACAGTTATTCTAATTTTTGCATTAGAAGGCATGTGTGTTGTTTCATAACAGACATATTGTTTATGTTGTTGGCATGCATTGAGTGGTAGACCAATGAAGAGAGCAGTGGCTGATGCGACAGTGCGGGCATATAAAATGTTTAAAACACTTTGATAAGAGCTGAACAAAATGTCCACCACATGTGGTGCTTAACTTAGTTACCATTCGCTACACATCTCGTGAGTGATTTCCCACTCTATACTTGCCAACAAAATAAATGCTATAGCAGGGATTTTTGTTTAAAAAGGGAACAGGGGCGCAGCACCCTCATGGCCATGCCCCCTTACCCTAGGGAGCAGATCCTCTGGCAACCATACAATTCTGATTGACCAGGGATCACATGTGGCCACAGTCTTTAAGTGTCACCTGTCTGATAGTAATTTTAGCCCCAAGGAAGCCATAGAATGATCCATTTTGATTTAGAATTATTAAAAACTCCACACCGTGGTAGGGAGAACCCTATCTCCCCCACTTGGTGGCGCCGTAGAATTGCAGTGCTCCCTCTTGCAGTTTTTTCCCCAGAAAAACCCCTGCTATAGTGTTCATAGTTGTATCATTGGATGCTGAGATACAGGTGACTTTGACTTACTTGTATATTACGACATCATGTCTACTATTCTGTCTTCGTGTAACACATCTCCTCCATCCCATTGGCAGTCTGGGATCATTCCACATTGGACACCTGTATTGATTTTACAATTTTCAATATTTACAAGAGAAGTAGCACATTGAATAGTATCAATTTCTTTATGATCATTTGTTTTATGTTTCGATTTCTTTCTTTTTCTTGCTCAATGTGTCAGCTTTTTTTTAAACCTGGTGTAAAATGTTTCTCTTCAATGCTTTTTTTATATTTCTCTATTTCCTCCACATTATCATCACTATAAGTCTCAAAAAATGCTGCAAACATGCTGTTAGATTTATTATTTATTTTCTCACTTGCCACGTCAGATTTTCTTTTTCTT